TAATAAGGTCGACGATCACGAACTGCAAGTTAGCAAATATCAGCAGCAAAGGACTACTTCTCTCCTACAAGCTTAATGATACGGACCAATCTGGGCGGAAGGGGAGTCCAGATTCCTCCGCCGGATAATCCCGTTGGCTATCCTCCTTTAAACAAAATAATCCCGTCGGGTCACTCCTTCCTAAGATTCCAGACTTAGAACCTTCATAGATTATTGAAGAATTGATTGGCTTATTGATAAACCTGCCAAATTCTTGAACCTGTTGGAATGCATTGAGCAGGTCTCAAGACAAACCGTCCGGTCCTTTGTCCAAAAAAAGGCAACGATTGACGTCAAAACATATCTTCAATTTTTTAGTACACAAAGGTCGGTTCTAGCGGCTTCAAAGTTTGAAAGCAGTTAATAAGATTAAAATAACAGCATTAAGAAGTTTTATATAACAATTTTATTGAATTTATTTGTTAACTGAATTTAATATGAGTAGAAACATAAACGTAATTTTTGCCTCTGATATGATTTCATCCAAGTAAATTGTCAAACAATGGCCGCTCTTGCTCGACTTTCGCTAAGGTTAGACAAAAGACCATAACCTCGATGGCATCCGTTGTTCCAACTGACCAGCCCTGCTTGATCAGAATTTCCCCAAAATAACGGTTCTTTATTTAGACTGAAAACAAAGTGTATCGATTTTTGGAAGCAGCTGGATTTTGGTCATTGCCCCTTTTTTCAGCTGATGGCAGGTGATTCTTGGAGGCTGGCATATGTCTTTGACGACCATTCCAACACAGTGCAGCGGAATCTAAAAGCTTGGTTGATTTCGCATGGACCAATAACTGCCGGCTTATCCCGCACATGTCTTCATCATAAAACCAGGTTCTTTGTTTGAACATGTTTGAAAGGAAAGTTTGAACAAAAAATAGAAAAAAAGAAATAAAGCTAATTTTAAATTTTGTTTTAATCTTACTCAAAAGCAATTCACAATTCGCAGTTGTTAAATGAACATTTCAAATGTTGAAAAAGACTCCTTCATCTAAAATTCATTAATAACTTTTTAGTTATGACATGTCAACGAATAGATTGCGTTAAAAATCTATTGTATGTTTTTGGATCAAACGAATCGCATTTCATTTTCTGTAAATATAACACGCAATAAATTAAACATAAAAAACTAAAAGTGTGCCGAAATTTATTGAACTTTCAGCATTGTCCAATGGGAGACGATATAATGTGACGGCATGTGCTTCAAGGAATATAGAGGGGACTGATTTCACCGTAATTTCAAATCGTATGACAAAGAATTCGCTGGTCTGTGACGACATTTACCTATTACGGAGAGAGTATTATGATGAAAGTCGATTTCGCCACCTGCTCATAATAGATGGATAAAGTTGATCTATATCCACGATGCAGCTGTATTAAAATTGAGAGGCAAGGTTACTACGCATGATGTGTCACTATGAATAAAGATGAACCAATATTACAGGAGCGCGTGCCGACACAGCACCTGCGGACCCGGTTCCATTATGTACAAATTAAACAAGATGATTCAAAACCTAGAAGTTTACCATCTTTCGCAATTTCTCAACACGGAATAATACCTTGGCCAACACGCGCAAGTTTCACCTGACGGTCTTTTCATCGAAAGTGGCTACCTCAAAAGTTTTAGATCAGCGACCCCGTTAGCCACGCCTCGAGTGTTTTCGAATCTTTGTGTTCTTTGATGCCGTCGCGTGCCAATAGTGAATTTAAAAGGGTTATGTTCTTGTCAAACGTCATGGAGCGTTTATCATTGCTAATAAGTATCGCAATGTCTGATGCGATGTATCGGTATGGATGAAACAGGGCGATCAAACAAAATATCTGAACATACAGCGCTGGCCGCTTTGTCCCCCACGCGCGCACCTGCCCTTTGTGAAACACGCTCGTGCAAAATAAAACTAATCACGGTCGTGCGATATCGAAATTTTCGATTGTAATGGAATTATTAAAGTTATTCAAACGAAACAATTAGAATCTGAAGAGTCTGTTCCATTTAGCGAGGAGTTTCTCCCTAGCAGACGCGCGGGTTTGTTGTTCTGGGGGAGCTGACGGCCCGTGCGGGGGACATCTGGGTAGAGAAGGACAAAGAGGGAGGAAAAGTCCCGTTAGTTGTCAGATAATGACCCAAACAGGTGAAAAATACAAGAAACCACCCTTTGTCCTCAAAATCTTATACCCCCTGTTCTAATATAATGTAAGAAATATGACATAATTTATATATGTAGAAACTTTTTTTACAACTAAACTTTGAAAATTTATGTTTAAAACATTTGTTGAGATGGTAAAATGTTTACAATGACACCTGTGACATTGAACTAATTGAAATATAAAATCGAGAACTTAATAAACATTTTTTTAAAATAAAAAAAAGTTAAATATACCTAAACCATCCAATCAAACTAAGATTACTCAAAATTTAGTATTTTGGAGTAATCAAACTTAAGTCTGAGTAATATTATTCACAAAGCGCATTGTTAGAGAAAAGGAAAAATTTCCCTACAACTATCGATTCCGTTTATAACAGGCCCAGTTTCCTACCCCCTATCGTGCACTGGTCAGTCATGGAATCTAGTTTTAATTTCCACTAATTTGTACTAATTCAGCCCAGCAGGGAGGGGCTGTTAGACGAGCAGTAATCTGAACTGGTCATCGTAATATTTCCCACCTCGGGGAGGGGGGTGTCGATTTTATGGGGAGCGAAATGACACAGCTCACACTTCGTAACAATCACATCTATATGTAACTTATCACGTTGGGCGTTATGAAAATGTCAAATATCGCAGTGGAATTGGTCACAGTCGCTGGCACTGGACATGCCAACACGACCGACCAATTACTGTCCAGGTTTTAATGACCAATCTAAAGCCATATGAAATCATTTACTCTATATCAGATATCGGCGAAAAAAGGTTTCAGCGCTTAGATTTGTTTCATTTCCATGTTTCAAATTTCCATTCTGATTTAACGAGGTCATTAAAGTCAAGCAAAGGTTTGGGATTTAGTATTGCATAAAAATACACAATATTCATGTATTGTTCATTGGGCTAGAGACAAGGGAGTGCCATAGAGCCAAGAATTAATGATAATTGGTTACTTTATTTTCAAGTTTTTATCCTAGATTGCAAGAATATCTGTGTCTTTTGGTCCGGACACGTACTGCATGTGCCCTTCCCTCACCTTGGACAATACGACTCGTACTGACCGGTGAGTATGCAATGAGGACTGTGTGTAATAAATACAGCTCATGTCAATGCTAATGTGGACTCATTGACATACAGCAATGCACAATATCAAAAGGTTACATCGGTCAACGAGAGAGATGGGGAACGTACATGTATACAAATAAATCGAGGATTTGTTTTTGTTTGTTGTTTCACGTCTCTCTCGAGAATTTTTCACTCATTGTTGCTGCACTTGTTGCTGCAAATTTTGTCCTATACTCGGCACTTGGGGTCATTGAGCAGGGAGCACCTACTGTGACATGGGACCTCGGTTTATACGGTCTCAAGTGGGATTCGAACCCGCGACGTAAGGATCAACTCCTTACTCCGCGACTTTAGAGCAGACACTCCATCACTGAGCTGCGCCATGCGGGCGACAAAAAGTTTTTTTTAAGTTTTTTTTCCAATGTCATGAATGTATGCAATAATATTCTTTTCTTGTTCAGTCCCCCAAAATATGATTAATAAAGAGATTCCAGTTTCACTGTATCTTTTGTTGGTTAACATTTCTTTCATATGAAAGAGACTAGCGTCTTTTTACATGTATCTTGCATTGGACAATCACTGACAATTTTTTTTTTGGATAACGTGCACTTTTTGTGGCACCAATATCATTTGAATAGTCCTATCTATCCAAGTCATCCGTCAACCACCTGATATCTTCTGCTATATTCAAGACATTTAATTCCTCAATTGTTGTATTAATTAGAACCATTTGATAAGCTAATGACGAGGTAGGACAGTTTTGTCATGTGTATGCTATCGGCACCCCCCACCTGTAAAGCAGATCTGCGCGACCTTGTGCAAGATTCATTGACCGTTCACGTAAAGATCGTTCGTCATCAAAAGAACTATGCATCTGAATCTATTCTGTGATTTTACCCGATAACCGTTGAAATGACCTCTAAAGGACTTTATATGCATAAATTTACTTAGAGCACTGTCTTTTCGATAAAGGTTCAATCACCCAGTTATAGTATTCAGCTACTTGTCAGACTTTGTATTGTATTGTAGAAATTATATTTTAGTACCACCCTTAAATTATGAAAATCTTGATTGTATTAAATCCTTAGAGATTCATTTATTAGAAGAGAATTTTTACTCCGCATCATAACCATTCAATTATGCCTTGCACCCAGCATAGGACATAAGGAAGTAATATTGCTGACTCTGCAGAATACGAATTAAATATCTACATGTTTATAAGTATGTACATGTATGATAGGGCTCTTGATAGAAAATGTAATCGAGAAAATCCCCCCAGATTTAATCTCCATAGAGAGAAAAACTTCCTATTTCCGACCATCGGACACAACGCTGACGTTATGATGGATTTCAGGTTAAAATTTTACAGCTCCAGTTGTTTCCTTGATAACCAACCCATGTTCTTCTAAAAACATGAACGTCCAACAGTTTTAAGATCGAGGATTATCTAATTAATTATGTGGAGCTTTGTATGCGTTAATCCGAATTTACTTTCGAAAATCAGTTTGCTCTTGACGGCATTTGCTGCGTCATTGTATGTTTAATAAATCGTTGGTAGATATATAGATTAAGAAACTTGATCAATGGTCCGTTTATCCGGATCAGAAACCCTTTGAAGTTTACAAATTACAACTACATTGTAAACTTACTACAACTCTCTTAATGAATCAGCTCTATTTCTAGCCATCTGCTACTCACAAAGAAATGGCCCCTCAGACCTTGGAAATTGTCACTCAATAATAACAGAAATTCTCATTTCAATTTAATTCATTTTATTAAATATTGCCTTCAATTGATTTACACAGTCATCGTGTAAGATTTGGTCGAACAGTATAAAAGTACAGTTCAGTATGGTTTACATGCATTAGTAACTTTCCAAATTTACATACTACTACTTTTGTTGCTTTCCTATACAAAGTAAAAACATTTCTTCGCATAAGTTTTCTACAAGATTTCTTCTGACCTTTACATCTGACCTTTACACCCCTTTGAACTGCGACCAAAGATACGAAATAAGAGACCATAACCTATCGTACACAAGTAATATCCTCTAAAATTGCAGCATTACGGGTAAAATAAAAAAAAAGTTATCACATTCTTTTTGCGAGGATAAAACCAAATGTACGTTAATTTTGGTCGCCATTTTTACTCATCATATGCATATTGCATTGAAACTAAATATACAGTACCCGCAATTTTTATGTAGTCTATCATTCATAATGCTCATATTTTCAAACTTTCATACGACTATCATTTCATCATTGGTATTCAGACAATATATCACAGATAAAAATGAAATTCTTTAAACTTGAAAGACACAGATAAAAAAAAATTAATTACTTTCATTATCTTTACTAAAGGTAAAAAAAAAAGGGAAAAAAGACAATACTGCCACCATTAGTCCTACCCTTGGTTTTTGAGACACAATTTTCTTTGTTTCCAGCGTCAAGCAATACACAGTGTTAACTGGAAAATCACAGAAGGGCAGGACAAGGCCTCGGATACAGAATATATTATTAGATACACATGAATAAACTCTATTACTCGAAAAAAAGGCTTAAATAGTAATGGATTTTTGTTACATAAACACATATCGGAGTAAGCTCGAAAAAAGTTTTGTGTACGCTTACTCGACAAAAAACATGTAACCATGTATAATACATGTAGCTTCACCTCTTACAACTTCTTGTCTTAGCATGTGACTTCTCTCAGAATGAGGTCACATGATCTTTCAAAACGAGGCTATGGTCTTGAAAGTGAAAAAACTCACTTTTCTTGATCGAAAACCTTATCACATCTGTGATCCAATACAAATGGAACAGATGGTACTCTCTTACTTGGAAGGCAATATACAACTATCTGAGACAACTTTTTTTTTTACAACTTAATAAATAAATTAACTGAAAAATATCAAAAAATGCAAATATTTTCAACTTTGTTGAAAATTATAAATAATTTTGAACACATCATTTATGGTTTTTCATGGTAATGAGAATTTGCTTGGTTAAAAAAAAAAAAGAAGGAGAATGGAAATGTTTTAAGAATTTTTGGTCCCTTTCAGACAATCAAGAAACTTGGATGTGATACTTTGATCCTTATGAACACAATTTTAACAATTTTAAAAACTTTTTTTCTGTCAAAAATAGTTTGTGATGTTTTTTGTATCAAATATATAAATATATATTTACATATAAAATTTACACACACAGTGGGGTACTGCTGTATAAAATATAGCACTAATTTTTTTTGTTCTAACAAACATTGCATAACATACATGTTTTGTGACAAAACCGTGATTAAATGAATTCATGATTGCCATGCTACAATGAATTTTTTTAATTTCATGCATAATCTATAGATTTTTTTTGTATCATAAGCACCGTTATATGAATACACTTTGCAGATGGATAACTTCTTAAAGAGTTAAAAATATATAATGATTGAAGATTTTTTTACTCTTTCAAAAGATAAAAAAAAAAAATGGAGAAAATGAAAGTTGAAAGTGAAACAAGAATATGGAACAATGAAACTTGAAAAAAAAATATGTACAAGGTAAAAACAGGCAGTACCACATATAACAGAGAAAAGTCGTGAAACATTTCAAACAGACAACAACTCGTACAAAATTAACAAACCATGGCCCTTTGAAACACATCAGAGCATACAATAGGATAAACACCAGCAAAAAAAAATAATAAAAATTATATATATCACATATTTGTTTCTTAAATTATGAACACATGTACTACTGGTGTTTATTTCTGGCACAGTTTATCAGAAATATTGTTCTATAGGCAGTGATTTTTTATACAGGTCCACCTAACCACACCTTGGTTATAGGGTCACGCAAAAAAAATAATAATAATGGCCGAACTATTTTGAGATATGAAGGTCTGGTATGGCAAAGGGTGCAGAATAAAAAGAAATGTAATAATAAACCTTGATAAATGCAACTAAATAACTTCGTTGGCAGTAAGGAATATGTTAAAGTAATTTTTTTTGACTGGATGCAAAGTCAGTCACACAATGAAATTTATCTTTTTAAAAACATCATATATTGTATACAAGATTGTTTTTTTTTTTTTGTAAAATGGAATTTTTGATTTTTTTTTTTATAATTAATTTTTTTTTTAACTATATGAAAACACCTTCACATTGTACATTGTGTAAATGCAGAAATTAAATGGGAAAAGAATATATCTACCATTGAATTTGTCTACTAGTGTACAGTTTTTAATTTTTTTTCCCTTGGTCCAGAGATTCTAAAGAAGGTTTTTGAAGGACCAATCCTATATTTCACTATTTCTTAAAAAAAAAAAAAAAACAAGATTTTTTTTAAAAAGATAATTTCAAATTGTGAATGACTTGAGCAACCATTTATCTGCATCACCGCCCCATACCAACACCAAAAACGACAGTAGCCATACAACAGAAATACTTGGCACCACTCATCAGGGTATCAGGATGGGGGGAGGGGCTGAGCTAACGGGAGGTTGTGTGGGGGTTTAGAAGACGATATCTTGAACATCTGTTGGGGTGGTGGGCTGCCCCTCATGCTGAACACGGTGGGTGCTGTGGACCTCCACTTTGGGTGGTGCCGTGGCTTCCGAAAACTGTGCCATGTGCGACAAATTTGATGACAAAGTCTGCTCTATCTGGTCTTGACATGACTTTAAACAATCCTGAAATGTAGGGAAAAAAAAGCATTGTTTAGTGAAAAATGGATAAACACAAAATATTTTATCTATATCTCCAATGAGAAACAGGAAAAACACTTCATCTCCATCAGTAAACACTAAGGAGAGAGAAAGGGTTCCCACACTATGGCCGTAGGTCTGGCAGGTCACTCTTACAGTAAATAGTTTATAGTGACATTGAACTCCAAGCTTTAGAAGCTTATCAAATAGTCATTAACCTTTTGGCTGGGTTAAGTTTGCCTAATCACAAGCCTGGTGTGTTTATCACTAACACCAGCCACTGAGGTGCTAATTGGACAACAAAGAATCCCAAGACCTCTCTTTGATTGTATTACCCCTCTCCATAACAAGAGCAGAAAGGGAGATTTCTTATAGCATTCACAGAAACTGTTTTCCAAGCTATATTCTTATGACTAATAATAGAAACTGTTTTCCAAGCTAAAAATGACACCGATTTCTAATAAATTATGTCAGAAACCGTTTTCCAAGCTAAAAGTGACAACAATTTCTTGCAACAAATTACAGAAACTGTTTCCCAAGCTAGAGGTGTCAAGAATTTCTCTCTTTAAAAAAAAATTAAATCGGAAGATTGTAAAAGCTATGACACTTACCACATCAATACTGAGGATATGATGTAGACTCTGGAGAAGTTTTGTGTTGTCTGTCTTTAGAAGACCATGGGCTGCTGCTCCTACGCTGCCTGCTGCTATCATGGAAGGCGGGTAGTTAATGAACTTGCAGTCTGCCAAAAGAAAAAAAAAAATTTAGTTAGTCATTTGATGCATTAGATCTCTTGAGTATGCATGACACAATGTCAGCAATAGGAGGCGTTGTATATTAAAAAAAATTGCTCGACAAGCACAAAGAAAATTAAAAGATTTCAAATTCCATTTCATATGAGTTGTACATTTCCCACCATAAACAAACAGCATTCGCAGGGTTAGGTAAATAAACTGTGATAAGTAATCCCTCGCATTCATTTCAATACCTGTCTATGGGACCCAAGACTTCTTTTTACACCTTAATTCTCAATTTCACACAGAAAAGGATTTTTTCTATTGTTGTCGTCAAGGAAAAAGCATTTAAGCATTTTTACACCAAATTTCTCAAGAAATTTAAATGGAAAGTTTGGGTAGATAATAGGCTTTTTTGAAGGTGAGTTTGACATCATAGGTCAGTTTTGATTGGGTGGTACTTGACCTAAGGTCCTCTGTGAATAACCCCCCTAATCTCTCTTTTCCTGTCTTGTTCATATCCTATGTACTCTTATACTTCTGGATCTATTAGTTCGGCCATGTTTATTTGTATAATCCCTAAATCTATTACTTACTTACTTACATTGCTTTCTTTACCAAGTTTACATATGTGAATTAAATTACATCTTGCAAGATTTTTGACACACCACCATATGGTCCCATGTGCACAAAAAAGGCTTGCTTCAAACTCTTTAATTTTTTAAAAGTCTTTTTAAAGAATTGCTTTCTTTCTTTCTTTTCTTGAATAATTATAAAATGGAATAAAATCTATTTTTGAATTACTTCAATGAAAATATGATTAATTGAACTTTTATTTGATCATATTTCTTTTATCTCTTGCCTTGCATTAAACACCTGCTTTGGTAATTTTCCGATTTTAATTTGTCTTTGTTTGGTTCCGAGTCAACTGAGGGAATGTTTTGTGGTTGCTGTGTCGCTATTTTCGACAATTTGACAGATGCCGGGAAAAATTTGTAAACAGCTGAGCTTTCTAGCGGCATTCAAGCAGAGACTCAGACAATACCCATACAGGGGGCCCCGGCCATAGCATCACCTGTTTGCAAATGACGACAGGAGCCACGCGACGCCTAATGATCGGGACATGCCATGACCTCAGAAAAGCAAATAACCCCTCACCTGAATTTTTTGCAGGTAAATTTGATATGGAAATGAAAAAAAAAAAATCAATACTGCTAAAAGTTCTCTTGTAAAAAGAGAAGACCAATTAAGAATTCAATTTCATTTTTAATAAACATTTCTCTTTTTTTTTAAATAATTTTTTTTTGTACCTGGCAAACCTTAAAGTTTAAATGCCAGAATACAAGGTGACAAGATCTGTCAAAAGGGAGAAAACTCTGTATTGTTTATTTGGTTCTCTAACCCAAGCTGTTGATCACACAAGTTCTGAACTAATAGGATTTCACTGTGATTGTAAATCTGATTTCCCCAATCAGGGTTAATTCAGAATGGTGTTCTTTACAATAAAACACTTCTAATGCTAAGACATACAAGTTATATACAAATCTCCAAGCTGGGGGATTTTATTTTCCTTAATCTAAGAGTGGGAAAAGAAGATTTCCAAAGTGAGTCACGCACCCATTTGACACAATGTTTGGTGATATATTTAACATAAGTCTGAAAGTAAACCATGTCAGAATTCCTGGGGCATTGTCCCTATACCCAGATGTCTGAGGGGAAGTTTCTGCTGTTAGTTTGTATAATAGTTGGCTGCTGGCTGAATGAGGCTGAGTTTTCTCAATCAGTTTATGGTGGGAAAGTGCTGTGTTTACAACTCGGCAGTGAATGAAAGCGTGACCTGGATCCATTGCCAGACATCTTTTTACCTACAGCACTGCATCCTTTGCCAAAAAAACTCCCACACTACAGAAATACATTCCAAACACCCCTCCTGAAATCTCTCTCCATTTCCTCTCTCACATTCAAAAACACTTCACTGATAAATGGAAAGATTAGAGAATAGAAGATTTGGTAGACCCTTACCTGTTGAACAGAGGGCTATAAATGTCTGTGAGTGTTTCTTAATCACATTGCATCGCTCCTGGTCGGGGCAAATCCGAGACAAAATTTGTTCTAAAAAGTCATGGGGTGTCACTGCAGATAAATCCCATTTTAATTTGCTCAGAACTAACAATTCCATTTCCTGAAGAAGAAAAAAAATAATTAAAAAAATTGTTAATTTTTTTTCCTCATAATTAAAAAGTCATGTAAATGAAAAAGCATGTAAAGGAAAGCATTAGAAGTTCAAAAGACATTTATATCTTTTTTTTCTGTGTCATCTCTGTATTTTATCTTGTCAAGAGACATCAAGAAAACAATGATGAATAAACACACTGTATTATCACATACTGATCAAGAAAAATATGTGTGGTATGAAGGAAAAAACCTCACTCCGTATACCTGAATGCTTCAATACTGTCACATATAGGTATACACTTTACTTGATCAACATATCTCTAGGCCCTTTTACCTATGCTAGATCACAGAGAAAAATTTTGTAAGGTAGACAAAATTCCAGATTTTATTTTTATTTCAAATTTCTATTAGTGATGTGTTTGATAGCTATAAATCTAAGACTGAATCCACCTTTGAAGATTTTCACTCTAACCCTTTATTACTTGGAGAATAAAAATTGAGGAACTCATTTCAGCCCCCATGATGCCTTCCTGTTTATTGACCCACTGTTGATTTAATTAAACCAGGTAGATACTATTAATCTATTGACAATATCCCAGCTTGTCCATGTAAATTCTTTATTGTTGTAACCTAGCATGTGGTCTTAAATACAGACAGGTTTTTCTCAAGGTGTCTGGAACTCAGGTGGGACAGGAACGACTCCCTTTTCCCTCCCCCTGGGGTGAAGATTTCACACCTCTGAAACTCACCGTCAGTTCTTCCAATGAAATTGATCTGTCTGTATAAATGACAAGTTTTTCTGAAGTTAAAGGTGTGGTTTCCTTTAATTTAGATGCCAGAAACATGCACACTGCACCTAGAAGCTGAAGTCTAGTTCTGGGAATGTCCACAACTGATAAAAATCTGTCCATGTAATTCATAGCCAAAGGAAACACATCCTCTTCACACTGCTGTTCTTCACACACCTGGAAGTCCAATTAAAATTTGAAGAATTAAATTATTTAATAAAAATATTTTATTTTCAGATTAAATCTTCAAAACTTTATTACAAAGGAGTAGAAGAAAAAAGTTATGAACAACAAAGTTTTAAAATCATTTTTTTCTGAATTTAAAAGTGATTTTTAACATTTTTAATATTTTTTTTAATTATTAAAGTATTAACTTAGTTGAAGAGTCATATATTTAACATAGATAGCAAGTGCGCAGAATCAAAAGCCATTCACCATTTGCTGTCGGCCGACGGGCGGTTGATCTGAGCGGATGCAAAAAACTTTTAATAAAAATTCATTTTCCATCAAAACTCTATTTTTTGTGATAAAACTAGTTAAATACAGTTCAATATAGGTGGCAATCCCGTTTTTACTTCTTATTTGTAAAAAATGAATAAAAAATAAACGTTATTATGGCCAAAATGTGTTTTTCTCACATGAAAAAATAATGAATAGAGAAAATTTGTAAAAAATAGGTCCTTTGAAAAAAATATTTTTTTTAACATAAGGGCCCTTCCTCAATGTTTACTCTAGAAGGCTTATCAAAAATATTTGGGTTTTATCGACTAAAAATGTGATTTAAAACACTTTTTGTGAAGGTACCCTTTTCCCTCTCAAAATTATGGCCGCCATATTTGATGTTCCTCTGGCGTCACAAGAAAATATGCGAGTTGAAAGAAAATTGATAGAAAATCGCCAGTTAAGATAAAATACTCAAATTTAACTTAATTTAACAGCAAATTTACTGAACTTTCCGATCATATGCATGTCAATATCAAATATGAATGAAATAAATATGCATTTTGATTTCATTTGCAGGGTATGAACTACATGCCCTCGTGAAGGTGACCGACATTCCTCTGTGTTCCTTTGCATTTCCACGTTAAATATTAGCATGCAACCCAAAACAATGAATTAAAAAAATTACCTCAAGCATCCATTGTGCCACCATTTTCCTCATATAAGGTTTAATGTCAGTTTGAACACAAGAAAAATAAGTTGGTGATGGCATATATCTCTCCTCCGTTTGCAGTAAATTATGCAGGACTCTGTAGTCTTTTAGAAGCACGGGATCTTCATATGCTCTTCTTTGCGATTCCGTTTCACAGCACATTAAATTCATGTTGGGTATTTAAAGCAAAATGTCCAAGTCCAAAAATCGTCTTTTAAATGGTCAATCAATCACAAGAAAAATAAAACGTTGATGCCAGTTCCCAAAGAATATAAATAATAAAAGATGTCCAGTATAATATTATTCCTAATGTTTTAGAGTGTTATTAGAGGTAGATGATCTTGCCGGTTTGAAAAGATAACCGTACAGCTCCGACGAGAGCTCAAACGGCTAACAATCCATTCGAACCGATAGCTAAAATATATATACACCCCCGTAGCTGAGAACCCGAGCTCTGAATGAGCATTACTGCATGCCAGTGTGATTTGGCGCATGCGTAGTGCGATGAATGTATGGAGAATTTGCTTCGGAAACGATTTTTTTCCGTAATAAAGAAAAAAATACTCATCTTCTTTAATTTTTTCTTTAAATTTTTAAAATCTATAAACTGAATGCAATGCTTTGAATGAAAAGTATATGTGATGCAAATTTTAGTTAATTTTTCCATAACTTTAATCGTAGAATAGATTATATTCATGAATATTCATAACCTGTGACGAGCCGGCTAGTTGTAATATCTATCGAAATGAGAACAAAGATAGTTCTCGATATCCTCTTGCAAATGTAGATCAGCATATTTTAAGATGTTAACATTTGAAGAAGAAATTGTTGTTTTAAAACATAAATGCATAATTGTATTTAAAAATCTGTGCAATATGGATACCATGGATACTACAAGATGAATAAGACAGTAAAATATATTTTAAACGTTGTGGACAATTTATATATAGCTTCGATAATAATTGAAATTCTCTCAGCTGAAATTTGTAAAAGAAAGTGCAAATCTCATATATATCGTTGCCGAGCTTATTTTCTATTAATAGTAAATGTAGGCCATCCAATTTTATATCAACAAATGCAGGATTTAGCCCACGACAAATTATGAATGAACGTGGAAGGGTATGTAGTACTCGCTCTTATGAATGGAAGAGATTTACATACAGCGGCTCAACGATTGGCTGATCAATTGTAAGCTCCGCCTACGAGGTATAATGTATAAGAGTCGCGTGCAAGGGTAAGCTACCAGAAGGTGTTTAATTGTTTTTATTGAATTGCCAATCGAGGTGAAAAATTGTACCCTGAGGTAGAAATGGTTGAAATTGGAAAATAGATCTGTATGCCTTGAAATTACATTATAAGGATAAGAAATAAGTAATTAGTATATTTTAGATGTTAACGAAGAACACAGATAAATGTATTTTATGCAAAAATAACGACAATAAAATTAGATTAAATTTCTAAAGAAGTGAATGAGAGCAGTAGATTGATTCATGCACTTTACACTACTTTTTACCCAACTGAATTTTAATAAAAACACGTGAATTTTGTATAGAAAATAGCACTCTATGCTTTTACAAATTTCGTATTTATTGAAGTTATAGCTGTTCAATTTTTTCGTAAAATTTATGCTCGATCTCTACTTCATTCGTATACAAATTAAGCTAATTAGCCAAATCGGAGGATGGTTTTAATATTCAAAAAACTAAAATAAAAACTTTAAAAGTGATAGATTTGCTTCGATTTTTTCCTCGAAACACTTTCTTAATTCAGTTAGAATAACCCATTTTTTAATGTTTTTTTTAAACATAAGAAATCCTCCTTTTCCAAATGAGAATTTTTAAATGGTTTTTCAAAAGCAGGTGTTACACAGAGCATTCGTGAACAAAGTTCGGTAACAAAATTCCTGAAAACTAAATAATCCAATGTGAGTTATCTTTCATGGCATTGCAACATGCCTGGACCTGTTCTAACTTGTCGATTCATGTTACTTTTACTTTATTTCCATCAGCATCCTTTAATGAAACAGACAGCAACATCAAATTTGATGGAGACAGAGATGAGATACCATAATGTATTCCAACCTGGTCAAAAACCAGACTCTGCCCCCCCCCCCCCAACATTACCCTAAAGTTAGACAACTCCTAAAAGTCTTGTCTTCTAAAAGAACCAAATAACGTCTAGTTTTAACAGTATTTTCAAAAAAGTGTTCCGGTACTTTTATCATTTTCATAGAATTGAAAAATACCTTATAACCACTAATAAGGGGTCCATGGGCTACGGATTTTGTCCTGTCTAGATCGATCTATTCGTCTTGAAAGATAGGGATCAGTGTCTTCAGAATTCTGACCTTGCTGGTCAAAATTTCAAATGTCAATGAGTTTGAGAACAGTTTATTGGAAAGTATATTTTAACGATTTTTCACTAGCAGTAAAGAAAACGATACATTTGGACCACGGCGACTGGAAATTTACAATGCACCATTTTTAGATCTAATTCTTGCTTAGAATTCAAAATAAATGTGCTCGTGAAATGTTGCTCAAGAGTAAGTGGTCAAATTTTGATAAATTATCTCATCTCTGTCTCCATCAAATTTTAGGCCAATTTGTTGGCCAAAAACAGTCACATGACCAAAGGCTATCCTTTTACAATGACATTTTGTTATCTTTGTTTGTTTGTTTTTGTTTTTGTTTTGGTTGTTGTTGTTGTTTAACTGCAAAATTTAGATACTGACATTGTTCGTTCGTGTTGTCCATCTTCAACAAGACCCTAATCTCTAGTTATACCGGTAATTTCTGCTTCAGACGAGTTGATGAATGACTAATGATTATGATTTTTCTATTTTGTACGACTATGTCATAATTTTGCTGTGTTCAAACCAACCAACCACCAGTTTCAACAAGATGTGTTTGTGAAACACTATGCGCCCGGTGGTGACAAAGTTTCAAAAACTATTTTTAGCATATAGGTCACAGTCAAGGTCACAAGTCATTGGCCTTGGTGTAATTTGAAAGAATTTAATTAATGTTGCATGCATACCAAATATGAGGTCTCGATCTCTCATGGTTCAAAAGTTATGGCCAAATTTCGAAAAAGCTATTTTTAGCTTATAGGTCACAGTAAAGGTCACAAGGTCAATGACATTGGTGTCAATTGAAAGAGCTTAATTAGTGGAGTAAGCATACCAATTATGAAGTTTTTATCTTTCATGGTTCAATAGTTATGGCAAAAAGTCGAAAAAGCTATTTTTAGCATATAGGTCACAGTCAAGGTCATAAGGTCATTGATCTTGACGTTGTTTAAAAGAAACAAGACAAACAGACAGAACAAAAACAATATACGCCCCGGATCTATCGATCCAGGCGCATAAAAAATATTTTGAATGAACTTAAATTCACACATACATGTATATGTTTAAAATTCTATCTCTGTCTCTTTCCTGTAAGTATATTGTTAAAATTGTTATTTCAATATGCAGTATCCAGGCTCAAAGGATTAGGGGGACTAGGGGACGCAACCCTCTATCCCAATATACTTTACTATTGAAACCGTACCTTAATTACTGCAAATCTTACCAATAAAGCCAGTATATGTAATCAATATGATACATCGGCAACAATAATTTTATTTTACGAACATGTATATATATGTGTCCCCTAAAGAAAGTATGATGATAATTTGTTTTACTTACCAAGAATTGCAAGTTAGTGACAAACAAGTTGCTGAAACAAGAATATCAGCTGGATCGTTTAAAGCTATCATTTCATAAGTTCTATTATATGGTGGATACAATGACCTCGTCAGCAAATATAATTTACCATTAAATCAAAATGCTGACTGATTTTCATACTGTCAGACCATTATATACACACTGCATTGTCGACGTTTTTTCTGTTATTTTTTCGATCACGACAAAGGAACACATGGCTATCGTCGGAACCCACGGACTTTCTCTCCGTTACACTGCACATTCAATGAAATGCAGTGTACCGGAGAGAAAACCCTTGGGTCCTGACGATGGCACATGGCGGGTGTGACCGGTCGGCAGGGGATGCTCACTTCTTCATGGCACCGGATCCAACCTCTGATGTTTTGGAGGTATGTGTTTGCTCTACATCTATTTTATATTGTTTGATGAACTTTTGAGCATGAATACTGTTCGTTATCTCCATATACTAGTATTTCATTTTAGGTGCCCCACCCAATGCACCTATATCCACCCAAATGCCACGAAATCCGTCTCCAATGTGTTGTCTTATTTAATTGTTTGTGTAAGATCAAACAGATTTGGTTTACATATCTGCATAACTGGTATAATTATGAATAATGTTATGTAAAGAAAGAGATATTAAAAGTTTAATATACTTAGCACAATTGGAACATCCTGCTGAAACCTATAACCAAGGCTATTTTAAAGAAGTTTTCTACGTCAGCGGGCTGAGTAGCATCCGCGTCCAGTGTTCACACATTTCCGTAAGTAGGTCAACGGCAAGTCTTTTTAGGACCCTTGGGAAATTCCTTCTTTGGAATTCAAGTCCCTCTTTACCTATGTGCGTCAGACTTTTTTTTTTAAGTTTGAGAGATTTTGTATTCGTACGGGGGTACTGCTTCGGAATGAATTGGTTTTCATGAAAAAAATAATAATAATAACTATTTTCATTAAAAATTGGAACTTTGTTTACACAGGATGACCCTCTCGCAAATTAAATTTCAGTTCGGATAAAAGAAAATTGTAGGAAAAAAGATGTCCGTCATGATGTTTATTGCTGACCAGTCTTTGATAAATACAATAATATTCTTACCAACACCGCTGTGTTGTTCTTTTTCACGTTTAATAAATTCTTAACTTAATGCACAACAATTGTTCAACATGCGATATTGTGAAAATAACATGGATTTGCACTATAGATAGGTGATTATATCGGATTTGTGTTTAAGTACTATTGCTATTTCTACAAATAATAGACTATATATAAAAAAAAAGATATGTGTAATTATCAAAGAAAATACATGCATATGAATTAAAGCTCTCGAATAAATAATTTTTCTAAAACTCATTTTGGAACTCGTACAAGGATAAGAGGGGCATTCCTCATGGTGCTGAATTGTATTGTTGTTCTTTACATATTTTTGATTTAGATACATGCAGAAAGATAATCTTTATATTTACTATATCAAAATATAAGTCAGCTGAAAAATGAACACATTTTCTGAATTTCTCAAGTTCACTTGTATTGAAATATTTTTATGCCCCCGTAATCGAAGATTGGGGGATATGTAGTTTTTGTCCAGTCTATTTGTCTGTCTGTCTATTTGTCCGCAAAAACTTTAACCTTGCCTAAACTCAATAACTACAGACAGGTCAGTCGTACATTACACATTACAAGCAGTAATTTATCTCTTTGTAATTATAACGAAGTTGGAGGGGGAAAC